TGATAAAACTCACGAAGAAGAAGAAGAGGCGCAATAGCGAGGGAGCGACCCGCCGGACTGTATTCAAGCGGCACAGCAGTGTTGTGGTAATGACAGCATTCATTTATATGAAGAGTAGACTCATGTTGAGCTAAAACGCGATTTAGGTTGTGTAAAATAACTAATTCAACCCGAGGGCTGGGGCTAACCTCGGCGCTGGCCAACTTGAACGGTTTGCTAACAGATGACTGACCGAGCTGTAACCACGTTGAATGTACCTTTGCTAGCACGTGAATCTTTTCTGTTCATATTCGCAAAAGAAAATATATAATTATGGCATAAAAATGGATTATAAATTCCAGAAACGATCGTAAAGGCTCCACGGACACGAGCCCGTTACAGTTCATGCAGGTATTTTAGCATAACGGTAGCAACGGTAGCCCATGCTAGGCGCCGGTTGCTTGTAAGACGAATTCCACCCCAAAACAACTCTGTCTCAGTGACCGTTACGTCAAAGCTGTCGGCTGTCTCCGGGTGTTAGACGTGCACGCAGAGTGCAGACGTTATGTAGGAGACTGTAGAGATTACACAGTGTAGACATGGGAGCTCCGGTGGTTTTCCAGACTTAAACTGTTTTTGAGGTGCATTATTCCCTCAGTGGAACAAGCGCTTTCAGCTGTTTTTGTGTCACAGTAAGGGTAGGTTTTCCAGAAAAACCCCGCGCTCTTTAAACCAGATTGTTCACACGCAGCTGAATAATTTAGAGTTTGAATGACTTCTTTTGGGTGTTTTTGTTTTGGTTCTGTTAGCATCTGGTATTGGGCAGAGGCGTCAGACAGCGGAGTTTATCATGAAGTTAAAAAAGTGATGCATTTGGTCCTCAGGTGCCAGGATGGCGACAGACGACGTTGCGCAGTTGGCTGACTCTCTGGCCAAAACTGGAGTGGAGGATGGAGAGCTCAGTTACAAAGGACAGGGAAGAAAGCTGGACGATGCTCAGTCAGGTGAGCGTCACTTAATCACTAAAATAATCCAAAGGCTTGGCTTTAATGATTTTTCTTATGTGTTACCTGTTTTAATATGATCATTTGAATCTCTGCAGTTGAGGAGATGGTGAAGGAGATCCAGGACTTTGAGGGTTTACAAGCTCTGAGATTGGAGGGAAACACTGTAGGTGTGGAGGCAGCACAGGCCATCGCTAAGGCCCTGGAGACAAAGAGTGCATTGATGGTGAGACGTTTTTCATCATCTCTGTAACTTTTCAGCAGTTTTAAAATTCTCCACAATAAATATGAACTAATAAAAATACAATTAATATTAATATTCCAAAGGCATATGATGAAAGGTGCTTTATCATAGCAAATGTTTGAAGTATGAAAATCTGGAATGAGAAATCCAAACGTTTATCCAATTCATGGCTTGGGTGAAGGGGGGTTGGCATCCTGCAGCTGCCTTAGGGCGATAGGTTGGGTGCACACTTAAAATAAAAGGTTTCATATGCAGATGAACTGATAACTTAGTCCGACACAATGTTTAAATATGGCAGCTTGCTGAAGGCTGACAACAGCCTTCTGCTGTCTGTCACACTGATACCTGCAACAAGCATGGGTGAATCTAATAATAATTGATATGATTAACTGCCCTGTAATGGAATACAATCAGTCAGTCAATCATCTTGTGGCTTCCACTGACACTGCTCTTGTCTCCTTGCTTCCTTCCTCCTCAGCGTTGTTACTGGAGTGACATGTTTACAGGTCGCCTGCGCTCTGAGATCCCACCTGCCCTGGTACTACATGATTATCAATAACACATCAATTTTGACTCCCAAGCGGTTAGTTTTGATTCACTTCCTATTTTCCTATTTTTGTTTTGTAGAATTCACTGGGTGATGCTCTGATGCTGGCGGGTGCCAGGCTCACAGTTTTAGACCTCAGCGACAATGCTTTTGGACCCGATGGAGTAAAGGGCATTGAGAATCTGCTAAAGAGTTCCACCTGCTACACACTGCAGGAGCTACGGCTCAATAACTGCGGCATGGGTGTCGGAGGTGGCAAGGTAAGTGTGGAGATGACACGTGTTCTTGGATAAGGTCGTCATTGTCAAGAATAAAGCATCAAAGATGAAAACCAGACAAGTGGAAAGATTCATCATAGATCATTATGACTGTACTTGTTTTGTACTCCTCAGATTTTAGCTGCATCATTGATCTACAACCATAAAAAATCCAGCGCTGCGGGATCGCCCCTCAGCCTGAAGGTGTTTGTTG